TATAACATTAGTACAATATTTAATTAAGTAATTAGAATTTTAATTAATTTCTAATTATACATGTATAGTATGATTACTTAATTAATTATAACATTACATTATAATTAAATAATTACTTAATTAATTACAATATTATTATATTACATTATAAACATTAATAATTTATAACATTAAATTAACAATTTACAGATGAATAATTGTTTGTGTCTTGGTTTTGATTGAGAAATTTTATGTGAATTGTGATGAATTGATTGAATTCAAGTGTTGCCTAGAGATTAGAGGATTTATGAGTTACATTGGACACAAATGAATGATTAATAAAAAAAATTTAGCAGTGTATTTGTAAACTTTTACGGTATTTTTGTCATTTTTTAAACTAATAAGGGGGTAATTGATTTTTTACAAGGTACCCAGGAAAGGAACCGGAACCTGCATTTTAGGTTCTGGTTCCTTGAATTTAAGAACCTGCACTGTGCGGTTCCGGTTCCTTTTTTTGGGAACCTGCACTGTGCGGTTCTGATTCCGGTTCCCCCAAAAAATGTAGGGTACCCGAAACCGCTCACCCCTATACATGCCTAAAAGCCGCCAATCGTTTCATTAACCGACAGTTCCAATCCGTCGCCTTTACCTATTCAACCAACCGCTCTCTTTCGAGGCTGCTAACTGAATACCCTGACTCCTTGTAGTTGTATGTCCCTCCCTTTAATTGAAGGAAGTCCCGAACAAGAGATTAAGCCAACAAGAAGAATCTAAAAGGTATTGTGCCCGACAAGCGTTATGCTTAGATATAAACACCATTGGGACCAAATCCCACTCTAAATCATATTCGAATGCATGAAGAAGAAACTGCCAAGGCACCGAGAGCCCTATCCCACATCCATGCTGCTATAACAGACATTGTATTCACAAGGATTATGGCATATGAAACTCCAAATGAGGTGTGAGATAAGTTGAGAGAGGAATACATGGGAAGCAACACAACAAGGAATATGCAGGTGCTGAATCTAAGAAGAGAGTTTGAGATGCTGAGGATGCAAGAATCAAATAAGGTTAAGGATTATATTGACAGGTTGATGAGTGTTGTCAACACAATTAGGCTGCCAATAGTGGAGTTGACAGATAGGACAGTTGTGGAGAAGGTCTTGGTAGGCTTGCCCGAAAGATTTGAGTCCAAGATCTCCTCTCTTGAGGACTCAAGGGATATAGGGCATATTACTCTTACAGAGTTGGTTCATGTGTTGCAAGCACAAGAGCAAAGAAGGCTCTTGAGGCAAGAAGATGCAAGTGAGGGTGCAATGATGGCAACTCACAAAAGTAAATCAGTTCAAGGGAACAATAGGAGATATGCCGGTGATAAAAAGGGGAAAGAAAGGAGCAATGGTCAATGGGGAAAACTAGGTGGGATGAAGGAATATCTACCTTGCTCTCACTGTAAAAGGAAGGAACATTCTGAGAAAAAATGCTGGTTTAGGCCAAGGATACAGTGCAGGGCCTACAAACAGTTTGGCCATATAAAGAAGGTTTGCAAAAACAAAAGAGAGTAGTCCCAACAGCAAGCTCATGTGACTGATGATCAACAACCAAAGCAAGGGACAGAACAACTATTTGTAGCCTCCTGCAATGCAACACCAACAAGCTATGAAGGTTGGCTGGTTGATAGTGGATGTACAAACCATATGACACCAAACCTGTGGGACTTTGTCAAATTGAATCCAGCACATCGGTCCAGAATCAAGGTTGCAAATGGTGAGTTTGTTGAAGTAAAGGGAAAGGGAGATGTTGTTGTCCAGACTTCAACAAGTACAAAACTCATTACCACTATACTTTATGCACCCGAAATTAGTCAAAGTCTTCTTAGTGTAAGACAAATGTTGGAAAATAATTATGTCTTGCATTTTGAGAATCAAACCTGTCAAATTTTGGACAGTAAGGGGTGTGAACTGATAAGAGTTAAAATGGTGGGAAAGAGCTTCCCTATTAAATGGAAAAAAACTGAAGTTAGAGCTTTTAATGTAAAGGTAGATGAGTTTGAGAAATGGCATAAGAGACTTGGTCACTTTTATTATCAAGGTCTCAAGGAAATTCAGACCAAAAAGCTGGTCCAGAATCTGCTTGAAATAAAGGAGAGTAAGACTGTATGTCCAGCTTGTCAACTTGGCAAGTTGAGTAGGCAGCCTTTCCCTATAAACCAAGCCTGGAAAGCAGCTCAGTTTATTCATACAAACGTGTGTGGTCCTATGGAGACATTGTCATTGAGTAGAAGTAGGTACTTTGTATTGTTTATAGATGATTGGTCCAGGATGTGTTGGGTGTACTTTTTGAAGCAAAAAGGAGAGGTGGCTGGTGTGTTTAACCAATTTAAGCAACTGGTGGAAAACCAAACTGGAAAAACTATCAAAACCTTAAAAAGTGACAATGGTACTAAATACACTTCTCAAGAGTTTGAGCAAGTATGCAAGGAAGCTAGAATTAGGCATCAATATAGCATCCCTTACACTCCACAAAAAAATGGAGTTAGTGAGAAAAAGAGTACATATCAGTTATGGAGATGGCAAGGTGTACGATGGCTGAGAAAAAGTTGCCAAAGAATTTTTGGGCAGAAGTTGTCAACACAGCAATGTTCCTGCTCAATAGGCTTCCCATAAAAGCCTTAGTCAGCAAAACCCCTTATGAAGCCTGGCATGGAGTTAAACCAGCAGTAGACAATCTCAAAGTATTTGGGAGCATATGTTACATTTTAGTTCCAGCAGCAAAAAGATCTAAGCTAGGTGAGAAGGCCTTAATTGGCACTTTTATTGGTTATAGCAACCAATCCAAAGCCTATAGGGCTTATGTTCTAGAAACCAAAAGAATTTTGATTTCTAGGGATGTCAAAATAGAGGACGATGGAGTTTGGAATTAGGAAGAAAGTATAGTTGATGTGGAGACAAAACTAAAATGGACAGAAGCTGGTGGTGTTCAGATTCTTGAAGATGATGAGAGTGATGCAGAAGAGGAACTCTTAGTTAGAGGTACCAAACATTTCGCTGAGGTTTATGAAAGATGCAACATGACTTCACTTGACCCAACAAGCTACTTTGAAGCAACAAAATTAGAGGTTTGGAGAGCTGCCATGATGAAGGAGTTGGCAATGATTGAGAAGAACCAAACGTGGAACCTGGTAAACAGACATCTGAACAGAGAAGTAATCCAAGTAATGGATTTTCAAGAGGAAACTCAATATGGATGGCTTAGTCCTTAAGCACAAAGCTAGGCTGGTTGTCAAAGGTTTTGCTCAGCAATATGGAGTTGACTTCTTGGATACCTTTGCACCAGTTGCTAGGCATGATACAATTAGATTATTACTTGGAGTGACAGCACAGTTTGGATGGAAAATCTTTCAGTTGGACATTAAATCAGCCTTCCTCAATGGATGGCTGAATGAGGAAATATATGTTGAATAGCTGGAAGGGTACAAGATCAAAGGAAGAGAAGATAAAGTCTATCTCTTAAAGAAGGCCTTGTATGGCATGAAACAGGCACCAAGGGCCTGGTACAACAGGATCAATGATCACGTATTGAGCTTGGATTTTGTGAGAAGTCCAAATGAGTACACATTGTATGTTAGAGAGATTGATGAAGATGTGATGATTATCTCTTTGTATGTTGATGATCTTCTTGTGACAGGGAGTAAACCAACTCAGCTGGAGGAGTTCAAGAAATTAATGCTTGATGAGTTTGAGATGACAGATTTAGGAGAAATGTCTTACTTTCTCGGGATGCAGGTTTATCAAAGTTCAACTGGAATTTTTGTTAACCAAGAGAAGTATGCAAGTGAAGTTTTGAGGAAATTCAATATGGAGAATTGCAAATCAGTGGACATTCCATTGGTTCCTAATCAAAAGCTGTCAAAAGATGATGATGCAGAAAGTGTTGATGAAGGGCAATATAGGAGTTTGATTGGCTGCTTGCTGTACTTAATAGCAACCAGACCTGATATCATGTTTGCTACAAGTTTGTTGTCCAAGTTTATGAATCAGCCCAAGGAAACACATTTCAAAGCTGCAAAAAGAGTGGTAAGATATGTAAAAGGTAGCACCAACTTTGGAGTATGGTTTAGGAGGTCAGAAAACTTTGAATTGGTGGGATTTTCTGATAGTGATTGGGGTGGTTCTATGGAAGACATGAAGAGCACTTTAAGGTATTCCTTTTCTTGAATTATGGTGCAATCTGCTGGCTCTCAAAAAAGCAGGAAACTGTGGCACAATCCACAGTAGAAGCAGAATACATTTCGACTACAACTGCTATGAATCAAGCTGTTTGGCTGAGAAAAATTCTGGAAGATTTGAAACTAAAGCAAATAGATCCTACTGCAATTATGTGTGACAGTCAATCAGCTGTGGCTATGGCTAAAAATCCAGTTCATCATGGAAGAACAAAACACATAAAGATCAAGTTTCATGCGGTTAGAGAAGCTGAGCAAGAAGGGGAAGTTAAGCTGGTTCATTGCAGAAGTGATGATCAAGTGGCTGATATCTTGACTAAAGGATTGTCCAAAACCAAGTTTGAAGACTTTAGGCTTAGACTTGGTGTTTCCAGCAAAAATATCAAGGAGGAGTGTTGAAATAGTGATATTTTGCTGGAAATTTGACTGGAAATTCAGTTGGCTTTTAAAATATTTTTGGCCCCAAAGAAGCACTCTGTCTGCCGTGAATGGAGCTGCTATGGTTGTTAGATTTTGGTGATATGTTTAGGTGCTGTCAGCTAAGATTAAGGGTGTATTAGTTATAAATCTTGTTTTTAAATTTCAAACCTGTAATTGCACTGATTAGCTGGTGTAACAGTAAGCATTTTGGTTGTATAAAATTGTAATGTGAATTGCAATGAAAGACAACTTTTCTCTCAACTCAATTTTCTCTCCTCTTTCCTTAGTATTCACTGGCACTAAACACCTACAGGGTTTCTTCCACATATTTCTGTGAGGTGAAGAATCCACAGAATAAAGTCAACAGAAAAACCTCTAGCAAGTAATCTTACAAAACACAAAGGCTGAATAAATGATCGATAAGTAGAGAAAATTACCAGAAAATAAATTAGATTCACCTTCAACTCCTTCTTCATCGCTCGACTAAGGGCATTCAATGCGAACCCTGTAGAACCAGAAGTGAGATAAGGTCTTCTATAAACCATTGCATCATCTTCTTTCATTTTATAAGGATCGGAGCTCATCAAGGCTTTATCACTAGCCCTTAGTGGATCCTATTTAGGCACAGAAGAAAGTCATTAAGGATATCAACAGTTGTACTACGTCTCGAGGACAAAGTAAATTGACAGTGAAATAAGTACATGTGCTTGAAAATGAAACACACTTGTACACACAAACACACAAACATCTCATGTTTGAATAAAATTATAATGGAATCTACTCACCTGGGAAAAAATTTCGCCGAGCAAAAAGTTGCTAAAGATGACAAGGTTGACGGAAGGTTGGCATGTTTTTCTGTTAGCTTAAGTAAACCAGGAAGGAGCATATGTTAGTTGTCTTCATTCTAAAAATTCACCATCATTTAGTTGTTACTGAATGCAATTAAGAGCATCACAAATAATAGAATGAGTTATTGTCGAAGGAAATTCAGCAACTGAATGGTAAAGTTTCAGGAGATGCATACCGGAGGATCAAGTAGAACTAGATCCTTAAGCTTTTCCTGATGATTGCTTGCATATGTAACAACCACAAGCGAAAAGTAACCCTGCGAAGCACATCAAAAATAGGAAGTTCCAGTTTCATTTTACTAAACATAATAGATAAAGTTAGCTGCTACATCCGAACTTTGAAAATCAAAGAAGGAAAACATGCCTAGACAACAATCGAGACCTTGTAACTGCCAATTTCATTAATAACAGACTCCAAGGATGCCACATATTCTCTGTTACATATTCTGCAACCCAAAACAAACAGAGAATATGTTTTCATTTTCATAATTTGATAAATGAAAGCTGTTGCATTAGAAACTAAACTAATCTATAATTCTCATTCGCGAATCGCCACCATGAAGGCTAATAAATAATTACCATCGACAGTATAGTCAAATCCATATCTGAGTTGAGGCTTATCTGAAAATCCAAAGCCTGAAGAAGAGAGAAAAAGGCATAAATTTTCCTTATCAGTTTATATTCTTTTGGGAGTGAACCCTCTTTCACTACAATTCACCATAGACTAAGAGCATGATGTTACCTAGCCAATCAAAAGCAATGGCATGATAGTTCTTGGCGAGTGTAGGAAGGACTTTGCGATAAGAATAGGCCTGTCAACAACATAAATCATGAAAAACAAACATGATGTTATGCATAATGTTTATAATTTATCGAGGAAATAATACTCACTTGTGAAGGGAAACCATGAATCAACAAAACTGAATGATTATCTGCACTTCCACTTTCGACGCAGAACCATCTAAGGCACAAAATCATATATAGAGAGAGCATGTTTCAATCGGTAAACCCTGCAAATAATCAAATCTTAATCAAAAAGCACTATTGAAACTACTTATTAGGTAATAGTCTACAGAATAGTCTACAGAAGATTTCAATTAATTTCATATATATTACCTGAAAACATCAGCTGAGGCCTGAGAAGCAGCCCCATAGTAAGTCCGAAAACAGGATCTTTTGCCTTCTCACCAAAACCAGAAACAGGATGTGCTTTCATCTAAAGCAAAAACAGATTCTTAAATTCGTATTGGTGAGCAACATTAGTAAACAACCAAGAAACATTTCAATGTTTATCAATAGGCATGCTTGATGCTTGATACTTCTTTTCAGTAAACCTCGACGACGCTATGAGGAAATTTATTATTACTTATTCGGGGGATACAATGAGCCTTTAGCCCTTTTAAAAAGTCATTACTACACAGAAAGTTTCCTTGTACACTTACCATTTTTCCTTGCTTAAACCATTCATCAGAAGGTGATGACCCATCTGAATATTTTCCTAAACAAAACAACCACATTCTCCTTCAATAATATTCTTAATAATTAAACAGTTAAAAATGAAATAACTAATTTGATGGGTACCTCCACTGAAAGAAAAGCCATCACCAACAGAAACAGAAGAATCTATGAGATAATCCTGACAATTACAAACATATTTAAACAATTTTAATGAGTTAAATTATATGCAAGTTAGGAAAAAGATGAAAATTAATGATCAAACTGAGAATGGGAGGTACATCTTCATTGGATTTGCAAAGGATTCTTGGAGATTTTCTGGGGGCCTTGTGAAATTTAGAGTGGAGGTGTCCAGGAAGAAACGTAAATGGAGAAACAGTAGGAGAGTGAGGGAGGAGTTGAAGATGAAAATGAGAGTGAAGAGATGAAATTATAGGTTGAATAGCCATGGAGGAATGAGAATGTTTGGCGTGCATTAAACAAACATTCAAAGAGACCGTTAACCGTAGGCTTTAGTATGAAAACTCAAGGTACAACTTGGTCCATACAAGCTCGTGCAAGAGATAGGGATTCTCTGGCTCTCATTCCTTAAAATCAAAGCCCAAGTTTTTCCTGTAATTATGGGTACATATAATCACATTCATCTTCTATTTCTATAATTAATTAGATAAATATATTATTATTTCTAAATTAATTTAAATCATAGCATTATGGGTGGAAGTAATTAAATTAAAAAAAATAAGGGTAAAAGTGTACTAATAATTTCTTTTTTAATGAAATCTTATTTTTTATTTTTTATTTTGTTAACTGGGATATTTGAACTAGTTTACATACACTTCAATTAATCTTCAAGAGAAACTATCCCATAACAATCAATTGCCGCAATCTCCTAGATAAATCATGAGCAAAAAGTAAGTCAGGGCAAATTTTTTAATGAAATCTTATTATTTATTTTGTTATTTCTCATTCATGATTATTTTGTTGTTTCTCAACCAGAATAGAATTAGGTTAAAAAGATTAAGAAAATGACAATTTTGAAATAAATTAAAATTTTTGAATATAATTTTTTTAATCAATATTGGAGCTTACAAAGAGATTGCATGGAGTTTGAATAACACCACTCCGTTCCAGGGGCGGATCCAGCCCGTGGGCCAAATTTTTTTTTTTTTTTTAAATGCTAATATATATAATTTTTTAAATTTGGTCAATTCTAACAAAAATATTGATATGTAATTAGTTTTTATTTTGACTCACCCTAAAAAAAATTTTTGGATCCATTACTGCTCCGTTCTAATTCTAATTCATGTCAAAAATAAACTTTATATTTGGGATTTAGTCAAATTTATTGAGGAAAACAAAATATTAAATTAGAATAGTTAATAAAAATTGAGTTTTGCTTTTGTAATTCGTGTTTCATATGGGCTAATTATTTGGATAAAACTAAGATGATAATATTTAAATGATTAAAAACTCATTAATTTAACAACTCCAATATAATACCACTAAATTAATTCATTCTATATACATATTTACTGTTAGGGCCAAAAATCGTCCTTGGCCCAAATAGGAAAACGGGCTCGACACTGAAGAAGAAGCCAAGCCCAATCCCGATATCCCGATATGACCCAATCGGACTAGGCCCTTTCGGTACAAGATATAGCCGGCCCAAACCACGTGGGCACGAGCCTCCTAATCCCAGTCCATTTCCTAGGTCCATGAGCGAATCCAGAGCCCACAGCCCCCTCAGAATACTTTCCTGATCAATCTCCCATTCAAGGTCACCTTCCTATTCCTGATCACTTTCCTACTCGGAGTTACTCTCCTAATCAGAATCACCTTCCTATCCGGACACTGGTAAGACAGCTTACCACGACCCTAATTCTTCTAGGGTTTGTATCAGAGTCACACTAGGACTCCTACTTCTACCAGGATTGTGAGACTAGACAGTCACTATATAAGCAGAGGTCAGGCCTCTCACAAGAGACATTACATTACACCTTCATACTGAAAGCTCTGACTTGAAGGCTTCACATTACCGCCGTAGTCACAGTCCCCGACTAGACTTCCGGTAACCTCTACTCCCTAGCCCTCACTATATTAGCCTCTCTCAGCCTTACTGACTTGAGCGTCGGAGTGCTTACGACAAACACCACCCCGGTGTTTCCCGCTCACTTCACGCGTTTGTTTTTCTACGTGTGCAGGTGTAGCGGATCGCTAGTGGCTTCAACCTTACAGGATCAGACCCCTCTTCCGTACAGGTAGATTTTTACGTCTACATTTACATTAATACTTATTTATAATCCTTAAAGATTACTGTAGTTTGTATATCCATCCTCATTATTAAAAACTTATATCTTTTATTTTATCAATCTTAATGAAAGGAATTTTTTTTCTCATTATTTCTTATTAAAAAAAGATTTCCTAATCCTAATTTAAAACGAATTCTTATCTTATCATTCCTTATCAAAAAAAAAAAATTAATATATAGGTCTCTACCCCTTTAGTACCATTGGCAACATTTTTCTTCTTGATATTATCATATAATTAGCATTTTTTTTCGATGAAAAAAATAAATTTCAAAGGGTAAGGCCCTTTGTATCCATTATTAGGTTTATGATTCTTCAACTATATTATAAAAGTTTCTCATACCAACTAGAATTGCAAACAATGTTAAATATAATTAAGTCTTATCTAAAAACAAAACAAAAAAATTCAGCTCTCCCCAAATTAAATTTTTAGTTTCACCGCGGTTGAAACCCTAAACCCTTTTACATGTTTGGGATTTTTTGTTTTTTTTAGATTTAAAATATTCAGAAATGATGGAAGATAGTTTCAACTCAATCAATGGAAAAACAATAATCATGAAAAGGTACTCACTCATAGCCCAGTGTAAGGGCAAATCAAAAGGGTTGTGCATGTCTTATGTCCATAGTGTCTGGTTTGATTCTCCACTGTACATAAATGTAGTACTTTTGTCCATGACCTATCTGATGGTGAAGATTAGTTATAGTGCGTCTAAACTAATTTGGAACCTTAGTTAACAAAAACCCAAAAAATCATGAAAAGGTAAGTTTAATTTTTATTTTTATTTTCAAACTCTCTTTTCTTTAATCTTTTGGCATCTACATTCTTGTTAAAATAATAATAATAATAATAATGAAAACAGGATGTATGCTAATACGAACAAGGCTCCCATCATCCTCTTCTTGCACAAACGAGTTTTTGCTTGACAACTTTGAAACGTTGTTCTTGTTCCTACTTTCTATTCCTCTATAATAAAGGAGGCATTAAACGTGGTGGAGTTGTATTTGGAATAAAAAACATTCAATGTAGATGTTTTAAGAGGAAATATGATGTTGTTGAAGGAATACTCAAAACATATGATAGATATTAAAGGTGAAGTCAGAAAAAATGTCGTATTACTTTGTCAATAGGTGTTCGTTTTGCTTGCACCTTTAGTGGCAGTTGATTCAAAGAAGAAATCCAACGGCTGTCAATTGGACACTTGATCTATGATATAAAAGCACACCAACCGACGTGGGGATCAAGCAACAAAAACAGACTCTCTCTCTCTCTCTCTCTCTTGCGATTTGCTCTTCTAGGGTTAGGATTCTTCGTGTTCTTGGGTTTTCTTCTTCGTTGATTAATGTAATCTCTTGAGTGATCTATTTATCACTCATTGGGGGCTAGTTCACTCTTGGGTTAGGAGTGCCAGGTTGAGTGTCTTCTAGGATAGGGAGTGCGGTTGTGTATCAAAGAAGAAGTGAGAGTTTGTGCAATATGTAGAGAATTCTTGAGAGTTGTATTGTAATCTGAACTAAGTAACAATTAGTGTAGAGAGTCCCTCAATTGTGGAGCTTAACATAGATGTAGTCTATCTCTTTAAAGGATAGGTGAACCGCGATAGATTTTGTTATTGTGGTTTGTTGCATTGTGTGTTTGTGATTGTGCTGATTTGTGAGTGTTGATCTAGAGTGATTATAGGCTTGAATCATAACAGTAGGTTAACTAAAAGATTCTAAAAAAAAATATTAAAGTCATTGAATATATAAACTTGCTTAAGCGTGTTGAATCATAACAGTAGGTTGAAAGATTCTTAAAAAAATATTAACATTATTATATTTGTTTGTATATCAACAATCAATTTGTTTTTACCAAAGTCTTTAGCCGCGTGGGAAACTTTCTAAAGAATCAAACTCAATTTTATATTCAATATATAAACTTGCTTAAGCGTGTTGACCCAAACTTGCTCCACACTTTTCAATCAAAACTAATTTTCTTCTAGAAATTGACAATCATACATTTGTTATTAAATTTTAGAAATTAAAATGAATTCTTTCATCAGTTTACCATAAAAGTTTTTGCCTTCATGATAGAGTCTACGGTTTCATAGAAGTATCACATCAACTAAACCACAAACCAATAATATATCTGATGTTCTAAATGTTTTGAATCAGTGGTAGTTTATATAGATTCCTTGTTTGCTTCTTAGAAATTTCTGTTTAGTTTTCAAAGTGTTTCCAAGTCTACCCGAGACCACGACTATTAGGTAGGAATACTGGAGTTGTCATAATTCATCATAAACATATATAAACCAAAGAAATATTATAAACAGAGGTTGCACATGGGGATTAAGAAGAAGACCCGAATCTTCTGCAGGCTCTACCTTTTCATCTTTTTCAGCTTCAATGCTCCAATAATATTGTTTGCTCAACTCAATAAATCTCACATGGAGATTGATGTTGGATTGATCCTTGATATTGGTTCATTGGAGGGGAGGATGATGCAAAGCTCTATTTCCATGGCAATTTCAGATTTTTACCGTGTAAATGGTTACTACAAGACAAGGATTGTTCTTCGCACAAGTGACTCCAAAGGACAACATCTACTTGCTCTATCTTCCGGTAAGCATTTTCTTCATTCACTCCTGCTTCACTGTGTTTATTTGATGTATACTTTTCATTTTTGGGTCATGATTTGTAGAGATTTTTCACCGCCAACTGATGTATATGGAGTAATGTTACATCCACAATCTCTTCTTATAAATTTTTTCTCACAATTCTAACATAGCAGCTCACAATTAGTCTATCACAGTTTATCAAATGAGGCTCAGATGAGACCCATTACGAGTTGATCAATTGTGAGCTATCACGTTAGAGTTGTTAGAGAAAATTCGTGAGAAGAGGTTGTTGGTGTAACATTTTCGGTAGTGTATATTACGCTATTGGCCTCTTGGGTATATAATTAGAGTAATACTATTTGTACAAACTTTTTTCATACAACATTATGTGTTATTATCCTTTAATTGGCACATCATTTATCTAATTTGTTGAACATTTTAAGAATTGACTTTTTATAAGCATTCATCCATTCATTTGATAAGTGTGAAAGAGTTTGTACAGTATTATTCACATAATTAATCATAAGACTTTTATATATTAGACGTGTTTATATTAAAGAAGAAGAAAAAAAACAAATTAGAGTTTCTGAGAAAGATGAAAAATTTGAAATACCCTTCTCGAAAGATGAAATTACAGTCATATCTTAATGTTAGTTAAATTTAAAAGGAAAATCTAAAGGAACGGGGATTAGCCTCCTATTTCTGATGGTAGCGGGGGGCTTTACAATTTTTGGAAAAATATAGGAGTTTATTGTAAAAACTTCCTACAATTAAAAAGTGGTTAATAACTTAAAAGCTGATGAAATAATTTGTTTTATAAAGGATTTTCAAGAGTTTATAAGCGTAGTTTTTAAAATTGAAAATTGGTTATGTAAGTATCTATTAGTAAAATACCTTAAATTGAATATAAATCATAAATATATTTTATATAAATAAGTATTTAATTAAAATAAGTTTTTTTTTTTAATTTTAAAATTAATTTCTACCTTAGAATCCTAAGTGATGAAAGGTCTTGCACCATGCAGCTTTTGATCTTTTGGAAAATTTCAATTTGGGGGCGATCATATTCATAGGAGCACAGTCATCAATGGAAACGAAACTTTTGGGTGAGCTAGGAGATAAAGCTAAAATCCCCATTATTTCGTTTTGTGCACCTTCAACTTCTCCTTTCTCAAACAAATCATACCCTTATTTAGTCCAAATCGCACAAGATGAAACCTCTCAAGTAGCGGCCATCGCTGCCATTGTTGAAGCATTCAAATGGAGATATGTCATTGCGATACACGAGGACAATGATGAATGGGGAGTTTTTATCCTGCGTTTGGTTGAGTCCTTGGAAGGTAAAAACATCCATATTGCATACAAAAGCTCGCTTGCCGTCTCATCAGCTGATAATCAAATCAATGAAGAGCTGCAGGAACTCATGGCATTCGGACCAACGGTTTTTATTGTGCATATGTCACCTATTCTCGCATCTCGTTTATTCATGAGTGCAAAGAAATTAGCTTACTACTTTTTTCCAATACGAACCTAGGACTGACATTTATCATACTTATACTTAGTAAACGTAAGGAGTTCCAGCATTGAGGTTATGGACTCAATGAAAGGAATGATCGGTCTCAAATCCTATGTTCCACCTTCAAAGGAGCTACACAATTTTACTTCAAGATGGAGAAAAAAATTTCTTCTTGAAACAGATATGGAAGTAATGGAGTTAACCCCATTTTGTATATTGGCATATGATGTTGCTTGGGGTCTAGCAAAAGCAGTTGAAAGGGCAAGGCCTAAAGAAATACTCCTTATAGAAATACTTCTGCGTAGTAAATTCAAAGGTTTAAGTGGCGATTTTCAATTTATTAATGGGAAACTAGTCCTAAATGCATTTGAGATAGTGAATATGATAGGGAAAGGGGAACGAAGAGTTGGGTTTTGGACTCCTGAAGGAAAAATTGCTAGAGAATTATATTCATCCATTCATGGAAGAGAATTATCATTGAGTAATACTTCTGGTGAACTTGAAGATATTATATGGCCTGGAGGATCTGCTACAATTCCAAAAGGTACAGTCACAAAAATGAGCAGCAGAAAGCTTAGAATTGCTGTTCCACGAAATGGTGGATTCCCTGAATTGGTGAACGTAGATCGTAACCTTCAATCTAATGTAACATCAGTAACAGGATTCTGCATAGATGTATTCAAGGCTGCTATTGAAGAGGTAGAGCTTGAACTTGAGATTGAAGTAGATTATGAGTTTATACCCTTTCTGAATGCAACCGGGGAGAATATTGGGACTTATAGTGAACTTATTGACGAGGTCTATCTTCAGGTAAGCTTGTCACACAGGTTTATATATATATATAAAATCCTTTTTTATCCAAAAACACAAAACTTGTTTTCTTTTATATTTCTTCTTAGCAATTTTTAAACCAATAATGTTGCTTGATGTTGCATTAATTTTCTCTGCATTCTTTTGCATCTTTTGGAAAAAAAAATAGAAATATGATGGTGCTGTTGGAGATATAACAATGACGGAAAACAGAAGTTTATATGTTGATTTTACAATAACTTATACTGATTTGGGAGTTGGAACTATAGCCCCAAAAAACAACAAAAACATGTGGATTTTCTTGAAGCCGCTAACGGGTGATCTTTGGTTATCCAGTGCCGGCCTTTTTATCTTGACTGGCATTGTCATTTGGCTAATTGAACGTCCTATTAACAATGAATTTCAAGGTCCAACATCTCACCAAATTGGAATGATTTTCTGGTTCTCCTTTTCAACCCTTGTTTTTGCTCACAGTAAGCACTATCTCATTGCACAATTCTTGATAACAATTTCATTATTTAGGTTACTCACACAATTCACATAATTTTAATTGTTACAGAGGAGAAGCTGTTAAGTAATTTTTCAAGATTTGTGGTGATCGTGTGGGTGTTCGTCGTGCTTATATTGACTTCTAGTTATACTGCAACTTTGACTTCAATGATTACAGTTCAACAGATTCAACTGAACTCAAAGGAGAATTATATAGGATACCAAACCAATAGTTTCATCGTCAAGGGAGTCATTAGTAACCTGAATTTCAAGAATTCTAATCTTCAACCATTCAGTTCTCCCGAAGAGTATGCTAATGCTTTATCAAGAGGAAGTAAGAAGGGCGGTGTCTCTTCTATCATTGATGAGATACCATACATAAAAATCTTCCTTGCAAAGTATTCTGCAGACTATGCCATGATTGGATCCACTTCTACCGCAAATGGCTTTGCTTTTGTGAGTATCATAAAACCTTTTTTTTTTCTTATGTATTGCAAATATATTTGTGTGTGTGTGTTTGACTACTACCGATTTTTCAGGCTTTTCGTAAAGGTTCTCCGTTGGTTCCTTACATGTCTAGGGCAATTGCCAAACTAAGAGAGAATGGAAAGCTTATGAAGATGGAGAACGAATGGTTTAAGAGACAATCAACCTTCGCATCTGAGGATGATGACACTTCAAGCGTTGTGAAGCCTCTTACTCTTGATAGCTTTCGTGGTTTATTCCTTATCAGTGGAGTCTCTTCAGCTTTAGCTGTAGCAGTGCTCTATGGTTTTATGCTTTACAAAAACTGGCACTTTGTGAAGAACTTTAACCTCAGAGACATTATGTGGAGACGAATAAAGTTTGTAATAGAGTACCTCTCTATAAACAACTAGAAAATCGATGTAAAAAGAGTACCTCAGAGGGGCCTTGTGAACGTTAGAGTAGAGGTGTAGGTGTAAATGAATTTTTTTTTACTTGAGAAGTATTTGTTACCATCATTGATAAGTAGGAAGTAAGAAAGGGCCGCGCCTCTTCCATCATTGATGATATACCATACATCAAAATCTTCCTTGATAAGTATTCTGCAGATTATGCGTTGGTTTTGCTGGAGAGCGCTAAGGAGGATAATATTGAGTAAAGAGAGAGAGACGGCTGCAGCAATGAGTGCTCTATTTTACATTAAAAAAACAGGGATAATTTATACACAAAGCCAGTCCACTGTTTTCACCTCGTTGATAGGCTATTCGCAAGTGTACGAAATTACGCAAGTAATAAAACTCGTGTAAACGAGTATCGAATCCCAAGAGAACTACCTACCAAATACCAAACTAGTCTATTTTATTGCTATTTGATGAAACATAATTTTAAGAATGAATTTAATGAAAAAGAAAACAAACTAAAAATTAAACAAAAGTAGAATTTTATTAATACTTTGGTAAACAAATCAATATGACTAAACTTAGGGTACAGATTTCACACTAATTTAATCCTATGAATTCACAATTATTGCTAACCTAATTAAGCTTATTCTAAAGGCAAAACTCCTTGATATTCCACTAACTTTCTCTCGAACAATGAGCAAATTAACCCTTAAGCAACAACCCAAAATATCTCTAAATTAGATTTAGGAACTAAGAGATCATTAAGTTCTATGGAATTTACCAGAGCTCATACTCGCTACCTATCTCTAGCGTTCGCTCAATCTATGGTTTTATTACCTTAGACAAATCTACCAAGTACCAAACTATTCTATTTTATTGCTATTTGATTAAACATATTTTAAAATGAATTTAATAAAAAAGAAAGCAAACTAAAACTAAACAAAAAGTATAATTTTATTAATATATACTTTGGTAAACAAATCATATGACTAAACCTAGGGCACAGATTTCACACTAATTTAATCATATGAATTCACAATTATTGCTAACCTAATTAAGCTTATTCTAAAGGCAAAACTCCTTGATATTCCACTAACTTTCTCTCGAACAATGAGCAAATTAACCCTTAAGCACAAACCCAAAATATCTCTAAATTAGATTTAGGAACTAAGAATCATTAAGTTCTATGGAATTTACCAGAGCCTCATAGATGTAGTAACCTATCTCTAGCATTCGCTCAATCTATGGTTTTATTACCTTAGACAAATCAGGTTTATCTCTCGATCTTAACCCAACCCAAATATCATTCAACTCTCGGAATTGAAAGCATTACACACAATAATAAAACTTAGAATTAATGCTCAATAAGAATTAACAACAATAAACCAACACATATTCATAAATTGGGCTATATCTTAGCCTTAGAAAAGGGATTTAGTTCACAATTGCAGTAATAAAAACCATCATTATATCAATAACATGAGTTCAAGAAGAAAATATAAAAACTTCTCTAATTGGAACGAGAACTGCAAGAATTCCATCTCCAAAATAGTAGTCATCTTTTCTCCTCTCTAATCCTAAAAACTACTTAAAGACCCTTATTTAATGCTAGGGTTTGGAGGTTACTTAGGAAAAAATTAAATGCCTTAACCATTCAGATTTGGACGAGGAGAATGCAATAACCAAACAAGCCTGTGACCCATCGCTGCAGCGATCGTTCTTTCTGCCCCATGAGTCTATGATCTTCAGAATTTGTAAAGTTACCAACACAAACATTGTAGATCTCTGATAATTTTCCAACGCCACAAGAATTGTCGAATTCCAATTTCTACGGCTCAATTTATAATAGAAACATCAAAGCATGCTTATCTTGAAGGATTTCCAGATTTTACGTTGTATCTTCGACATGTCACAACTTTCTGTTTCAACCTGATTCTTGTACTTTTGTTCCTACACGTCATGAATTCCATCGACATCATTCTTTTTCCTTCAATATTGGTTTGAACCTAAAAATACTCCAAAATACACCTGTGATCCCGTAAAAGGTATTTATGAAAGAATTAATTCAAATTCCACAAGTTAAACACATTTTTCCACAAATAAACCAATTAAATCACTCACAAAATATACTTTCAAGCTCTTATTACTAATGCAGTAGATATTTTCCAAATTTGAACTTAAACTAAACACTTAAAACTAATGCAAGTACATGTCTTCAAATATAAGTCTGTTACAAACAGGAACTGATTGTAATTTTCTCTGTATTGCATTGACAAATTATACATCAATATATAGGAAATAAGACTAATCTAGGATAAATAATCTGATCTAGGAAATAAAAATCTAACTTCCTATTTTACAGATTTGTTCCTATTATGTATTGATTACATCCTAATATCCTATTGATGATTATTCACTTATCATGCAATATCTGTAAGATTTTGCATGATTATCTACAACAATCTACACACTCCCCCTCAAGATGGAGCATAGATGTTAATCATGCCCGCTTGTTACAAATATAATCAATCCGAACCCCATTCAGAGCTTTGTGAAAACATCTCCTATTGCTCTCCAGTCTTCACATATCCTGTAGAAATTAAACCTTGCTGATTTTTCTCACGAATGAAATGACAGTCAATTTCAATGTGCTTAGTTCGTTCATGAATACGGGATTAGACAATATGCAGAGCGGCTTGGTTATCACACCATATTTTGCTGGCAAAGAGGCCATGACCAACTTCAGTCAAAACTGATATATCCTATTACTACTTCACACACAGACTGGGCCATAGCCCTATATTCTGATTCTGCACTAGATCGGGACACAATAGTTTGCTTCTTACTTTTCCATGAACCAAATTTCCACCAATAAATACAGTAGCCCGTAGTGGATCTCCTATCTATCTTGAAAGCCACCCAATCTGCATCAGAGAAGCACTCAATATTATTATGCCATGATTTTCGTACAAAATACCACCGTCCTGGAGCTCTTTTCAGATAACACGAATATGTTCTAACGCTGCCCAATGATCAACAGTAGAGAAGACATGAATTGACTTACTACACTAATAGAGTACACATATCAGGACGGTGACTTTTAGATAGTTCAACTTTCCAACCAGTCTTCTATACCTCTCAGGATCTTCAAATAGTTCACCATCTTTGGTAAGTTGCGAATTAGGAAACATTGGCGTACTCCATGGCTTAGCACTCAATTTTCCTGTCTCAGTTAATAAGTCAAGTACATATTTCCTCTGAGAGAGGAAGATGCCTTTCTTGCTCCTTGTTACCTCAACCCCTAAAAAATACTTCACACTCCTAAATCTTTTGTATGAAATTGAGTGTGAAGAAATGACTTAAGTAATGCAATCCCTGTAGTGTCACTCCCAGTGATGATAATGTCATCAACATATACAACAAGAAGAATATGCCACTGCCGATTGTTTGTAAAAGACTGAGTGATTAGACTTGCTCTTTGTCATTCCGAACTTTGCAACTACCTCCACTGAACTTCCAAACCAAGCACTGGACTCTGTTTCAAACCATCAAACGATTTGCGAGAGAGACAACTTTCCCCTACTCCCCTGAGCAACAAATCCAGGTGTTGCTCCATATAGACTTCTTCCTGAGGTCACCATGTAAAAAGGCATTTTTTTATGTCCAACTGATGTAATGGCCAAGAATGTTAGCCGCTATGAGATAAATAAGCGAACAAAGTCAACTTAGCCACAGGGGAAAAAGTTCAGAATAATCCACTCCATAAGTTTTGAGCATAGCCTTTAGCTACAAGACAGCTTTAAGCTGAGCCATTGACCCTCAGGATTTACTTTAACAGCAAACACCCATTTGTATCCAAAGGCTTCTTTCCAGTAGGTAAGTCAACCAAGTTCCAAGTACCATTAACATCTAAAGCAATCATCTCTTCTATCATAGCATCACGCCAACCAGGATGAGATAAGGCTTTATGGACAGTTGCAGGAAGGGACAGAGTCTAGTGATGCCACAAAAAGACCAAGAAGAAGATGATAGTGATCATAAGAACAAATGAAGATATAAGATAAGTCAACTGACGTTTACCTTTTCGAAGAGCAATAGGAAGATCAAGATCACTCAAGGTTGGATCCAACGACAAGAGTCTTGGGTAGGACATGAAGTCCGAGTGTCTTCTTGACGAGGAACAGGTATCGCGATCACTAGGGACTGGGTCTAACGACGAAGGGACTGGTACAGGATTCTTGTCGACGAGAATAGACAATGCAATTGGAGGTAGTGACGGACAAGTGGTGGGGTTGGAGGAGAACAGTATGTGAAGACTCAGGTGTGACAGTATAAATTAGTAAGTCATCGTCCTCCCCTGAGTGTATAGGTAGATGAAGTGGGAAAAAAAGGGGTGTTTTCTAAGAAAGTAACTCAGGTGACACCAGATATCTATTAAGACTAGGACAATAACATCATATCCCTTCTGAAGACGAGAGTAACCTAGAAAAACACATTTAAGAATTTGGGATCTAACTTGGTTACTTGGGGTCGAACATCACGAACAAACAAGTACTACCAAATATCTTTGGGACAATAGGAAACAAAGACTTAGACAGGAAGAGAACACTGTAAGGAGTGGAACCATTCAAATAGAGGAAGGCATGCGGTTAATTAGAAACAGGCCGTGGAAACTGCATCGGCCCAAATTGTTTAGGAACTTGCATTTGAAATAATAGGGCTTGAGCGTTTTCAAGAAGGTGCCTATTTTCCTCTCGGCTACTCCATTTTGGGATGGTTTGGTCAACACAAGAGGATTGATGAAAAATGTCATGCTGGCGCATATAAGACTGAAAGAACCTAGAAATCTCTTTGGCTTATCGCTTCTAATGTCTGGACAAAGTATTAAATTGAGTTTAACTTCAGCACAAAGGCACAAAAATGAGAAAACAACTCAGAACGATTTTTCATTAAATAAAGCCAAGTTACACGAGAGTTGTCATCAACAAAGGTAACAAAATATTTAAATCCAGGTTTAGACACAATAGAACACGGACCCCAAACATCTGAATGAACTAATTCAAAAGGGACACTAGCCGTTATTGACTCTTGGACTGGAAGAAAGCGGTGGTGTTTGGCAAATTGACATGACTCCACATCTAACGAAGATAACTTATTAAACTAGGACA